TTGGCTGATCTGCAGTGTTTCAGATTTCCATGTTTCAGTTGGGTGCAAACAAAAAAAAAAAACTCAAAAAGCTTGTTTTTGATTAAGCCTGTTGCTGCTGGGTACAAATACTTACCTTCTGGGTGGAAGTTCATTAGGGCACAAGCACCAAACATAATTAATCACACAGTGCCCAGTGCTATGGCTTGGGTGGTGGCAGCTCTTGGTGCTGCCCTGTGATTTTCACTTCCCTGTCCTGAACTGGGGGGAGAGGGAGGAGGAGGAGGAGGATGGCAGTTTCCTCACACCCTCTGTTTTTGGGGATTCAGGCAGCAGCCTGGGTGGGCAAAGGTCTCAGACCCCTGCACCAGCTGCCCTCCTCTCTGAGCAGCACCGTGAGTCCCCCTGACTCCCCATTTGGCTCCAAATGCAGAGACCCAGGGACTCCTTCAGCTCCATCTTGTTGGGCCTGTGGCAGGAAGCTGTGGTCAAAGCTGTTTGCCTGCCACGGCTCATCTGCTATTCTTACACACCTCGCGGGGGTGAGCTGTGTTTTCACTGTCTCAGAGATGGGATTTGCCTCTGTTATGCTTTGGAAAAGCAGACAACTGTGGTGCAGGGAGTGGGAGGGGAGGCACATGGTCTGTGCTTGCAGCAGATATTTGTTGTAGGGCTAGCAGCAGCTGCAGACCCCGCTTCCAGGTCTCCTGCAACATCCCAGCCCCCTTTGCCTTGTGCCCTGACCATGCCCCCCGCCTAGGATGCCCAGGGCTCAGGTCTCCAAGGATGGAGAATCTCCCTCTAAGTGTCTGAACTCTGTCAGAACCAACCCAGCACCTATGCTGCATTCCAAGCTGCGTGGCTGCCTCTTGCCTCTGCCCCAGGTGCCCATAATGGGGGCAAGAACCTCAGCCCCAGTACCACCAGAGCAGGAACGGTCACACTACTGCCTGTCAGTGTTCCTCCTGCACCTGGGGGCTCAGCTCTCTGCCACAAAGCCATGGCACCCTGTCCCAGCCTCTTGTGTGTCTTGGAAAATCCCAGGTCCTAACTGTCACCAGCCACCCTTGATTAAATGACTCCTCCTCTGCTGTCTGGTCTCAGATCAAGCCTCAGCAAAAGATATATCCCAGGCAGGTCCTCATTTGTCACCAGCCTTGGGCCCAATAGGGCTGCACCTGCATGTGGCTGTGTAATGCCATAATGAGATTACACTGTGACATGATGGTTGTGAAATAATCCACAGTATCATTCAGTAAATCCCAGGATCAAATTACCTTTCCACATGACACCCCTTCCTGGGCATGGGGAGGCCAAGAGGCTGCAGCCCAGTGCCATGCCCTTCCAACAGCCTCTTGCTCTGCTCCTCCACATCCCTGCACCTCTCTGCCTCCTTGTCATTTAAGATTATCAAAGTTTGTGTTTCTCTGCAGGAGCCCCTACCCTCTGCCAGGCTCTGCTGTGTTTTCACAGCTGCCTGTTCACTCCCCTGCACTGCACTGACCCCCCTGCCCAGCCAGTCCCGGCTCCCTCACCACCCCAGCAGCACCCGTCCTGGCTGAGCTGCTGCTTAGGTGGCTCAGGCAGTGATGCCAGCCTGCCTAGGGTGGGGTGAAGGGCCAGTCTAGCTGGCTGTGGGGCCACAGTATGTGGGAGTGCTGAGCACACTGCGGTGTGGAACCCGGAGAGCTCTGGTGTGCACCCTGCCTCCCACAGCAGCAGTGTTGTTTGCAAACGTTTTTTTCCTTGTCCTGCCAGAGCTGCCCCTGGGAGCCAGAAGATCCCTTTCTGTGAAAATAAAGCCCGGGGCACAGGTACAGCCACACTTGGCAGCCCGGCAGTGGTGCCAGGGCACGCACAATGCCCCACGGCCGGCTCAGCGCGCTCCGCTGCGGGCGCCACAGTCGCTCCTGGCCCTGGCAGGTGTTCAGACACCAGCTCTGTTGCCAAGTCAGGCAGGGAGTGTGGCCAGCTGCAAATTTCGGCTTCGTTTTTGGAGCCTTTGAATCACTGGCCAGCCGCCAGGGTTGTTATTTGTTAGTCTGAGTATTTTTTTCCCAAGTGAATTTCAAGCTGGCAAGAGGAGCCAGGCAGGAGAACTTGGCAGAGGGGCCTTCGGTATCCTCAGTGCGGGGGGAGTGGGAGTGAGGGCAGGATACTGTGGAGTGGTCTGCCCTGCCCAAGAGACCCCAGGCAGCAGGACAGTGGGTTGCATCAGTGCTGGCAGAACCTTCACACCAGGAAATCTTTAGTTTCACTTCCCTCGTGGGGGAATTCAGACAAAGCTCCCACTTACAGGGCGGAATCCATGGACCAGCTGTTTGGAGCAGAGTCTGCGCCTCTGTACATCCCTAGTGCTGCACAGGTCTTGGTGAGGTTTCAGAAGCTGTGACCCCAGGCATGGATCCCTGGGGTGAGCAGGGAATTAATATCACCCATTTCTGTCTAAAGAACACCAGAATCCCACCTGAGCCAGAACTTGAGGCCATGCTGAGGCCAGGGCTGTGTCCCATTTGGATACCAGCGCGCAGGAGCCCTCTCTGGCCCTGCTCTCTACTCTCTGCTCTCTACTGCTGCACTGTCGGCCCACCCTCTAGCGTGGGCGGCTGCACTAAGCTGAAGCTTTGTGTTTGGTCAACTTGCACTTGCTGAGTCCAGGGTGTAGTCAGCTCCCTGAGAAAGGCACCTGGCTCCCACACCCATTCATGAGAAGGACTGGGCAGAGCTCACAGGCAGCTCATACTTCCTGGGGTGGCCCTGGATTCCAGAAAGAGACAGGACAGTACCTGTGGGCTGCCCCAGTGGCAGCAGCCCCAGCTTCCAAGGCTGTGTGAGAGCAGTCAGGAAACAAAACAAAACATGGGCAATTTACAAGGGAAGAAACTGCTTTTCTACCTTGGAAACCTGAGCCTCAGATCCACTGGCAACCAGGGATGAGAAACAAAGACTTTGGGAGGGAAGAGCTGGCAGGTCCTTGGGAGAGCAGAGAGACATGGGGCAGGGACCCGTGAGAGAGCTGTGGGGTAGGGAGACATGGGGCCAGGGATCAGACTGTGGCCCAAGGGAAGTGCCAGCAGCAGACAGCCTGCCTGGATCTGGCAGGGGCGGCACACAGGCAATTGGAGCGTGTCCAATCATTCCCCCCACACTTCCCATCTCCCCATCACCTTTCCAGCCGTTGTTCAGCAGTCTCAGGGTGGAGGCACAGCATGGAGACAGGCTGTCTTTTCTCCCTTCCTGCTCCTCCACCTCTGCTCCTACCCCATCACCTTGCAGGTGATGTGTGAGCCCTACCACCAGGCCACATGCCACCAGCTCCTCAGGAATGTGGGTCTGGGGCACCCTGTGCTCTTGCCTGCCCCAGCACCCCACCACTGTGGCAGCTGGCTTATCCCAGGACCGTGTGGCAGCAACCAGCACCTCCCCAGGAGCCAGTCCATGGCCAGGAACAAGGCCATGATCCAGCTCCACACAGCCAGAGACAGCCACAGCAGTTAGAGGGACTCTGTGGGCCTCTCTGTTTAGATGGATAAATCTTTCATGATCCCATCTCCAGGCAAAGCCATTTCTGTCATGTTGCCTCATTCTCCTGACATTACCGTGGTGGATTTTGTAAGGGACCTTTCTGCTGAATTGTCTGAATGTCTGTTCTGTGGCTCAGCAGTGGCCACTCGCTGGCCACCGCAGCCACATCAACCTGTCTCTCCCAAAGGCAATCCCAGCCCACCTAACGGCAGATTGAAAGGCTGTTCCTGCCAATAGAGTGAGAAAAATATCAGTGCCCATCCAGTACATGGCACAGTGGCCTGCAGCTCTGTGCTGGGGGTACACTCCAGACCCCTGGAGATCCCTCCGTGTGCAGGCACCCCACTGACATTTCCCAGCACAGAGCTGACAGCCCATGGAGCCTCACACGCAGCACAGGGGGCATGTAGGAGCCCGAAGTGCCACAGCTGCAAGTCCCACACGAGCCTGAAAGATTAAAGACCTTTTTCCAGTGTTTGCTTCAGGCAGATGCTCAGGCTCCAGGGCTTTGCTCAAATAACAGTCTGGTATGAGAATAAGCTCCCCTGGTGAGGTGCAATTTGGAGAACTTGAATGGGGGCTACAAAACTAGTTGCAAATAAAGAGATTAAGATCAGTATTTGTCCTTTTCTTTTCCTTTTTCCTTCCTAGTGGAGCAAAAATATTCCTATTTATTGCTATAAACCCTTGGGGGCTGTGTGGTAAACTCCCAGTGGGAATTACTGTCTCAAGAGATCAGAGATCCCGAGAACATCCCCTTGCCAAATTTACAGTTATCGTTAGTCCTAATTAGCCTTGTTTATCTCTCCCTGCAGTGGTATTTGAGGAACTAGCTCAGGTCAAACACAGGGCAGTTCCCTTATTGTTACCAGATATCCAAAATCTCCCTTCAGGCCACACCAAATTGTCACAGTGTGAGCACCATCCTCAGGCCTCTCCTGAATCCCAAGCTCTGGGCTCCTGCATGTTTGCGAGGAGGAGTAAATGGCTGCTGGGAAAAGCCAGGAGAGGAGGAGATCCTGTTATCCCACCCCCAGCATAGCTCCTGTAGCCCCCAGCCACCCCAGCCACTCAGCTGCAATGGCTGTGCACTCACACCCACCCTGTTCTATATTCTTCCTAAGAAAATAAAGCATCACTGTCCTATTAATTATGTGAGTTCTGGAGCAATATTTTTCCCAGAGTCACCTACTGGTTCACATATTCGTTTTCCAGGCAGCTTAGCCAGTAGCCTGGCAACATGGTGACCTTATGCACTGCTCAGCTTTGAGCATTTTATTAGCCACACTGGACTCTCTCCACTGCTCCATATTGCTGAACCCCTCATTAGTACAATTAATAAGCCGCTTCTGTCAATTCAATCAGATGCCAGGCTCGACAGCAGGAGAAAGCTTTGGCAGATCAAGTAGGGGAGATTCTGGGTAGCACTGGGAAATTGTAGGAAACCTTTCATCTCCCCCAAGGAGCCGAACAAGAATGGAATTGTGGGACTGGGATTCTCTCAGGTCATGTTTATTTATCACTGGCTCGTTAGTATAATAAATCAGGTCTCCTGTCACTTTGAATAAAGTCATAGGTTTGCTGGAAGGAACTTGGCAGAACACCTTGATATTATTAGTGATGGTGTGGACAAAGCCCCCTGAAAGGAAATGCCTTGGCTGGGGCGTGCAGGCACCCCACACGCACCCACCCAGCCCCACACCCCACCAGGGAATGGCGCAGTCATGCCAGGGGACCGGGATTGTCTTGGGACACACCACACAGCATGTCCCAGGTACTCAATAGCCACAGGATGGATGATTCTCCCTGCTCCTGTTCTTGCTTCAGGAGATGTGCATGGTGGGAGACATCCCCATCTTAGCCTCATGTGTGTTGCCAGTGCAAAGCACCAGGCACACAAGTGTGGGTGACATCCTGCACTGGCAGTCACGGGGATGAGGCACATGTGACAGCACTTCGCCTTTCACACCTCTCCATGTCCTGCTAGACTTTGTCCTGGCTCTGACGTTGGTGTGCTCTTTGGATCTCATACTGGTTCCAGGAGCTCCTGCCACAGCAGTGCTGGGAGGTGCTGCAGCTGCAGGGCAGATAGGTGGCAGGCGAAGGTCTTGTGCTTACACTGGTGCTCATTTGCTGCATGTCTGTTGCTCCTGAGCCTGATCCATGTGTCCTCTGAGTGGGACCTACCAGCAGCAAGGGTCCAGGAGTTGGCTTTCACATTTCACCTGCCCCTGAACTGAGCACACCCAGTGGTCTACCAGAGACGCTGGAGAGATCACTGTCTCCTTGCCTCAATCCGGCACTTTTCCACACCAGAGAACAGATGTGTAGGTTGGTTCCTGCATTGGAAATAATGCTTAATGACAAGAAGGAAGAGTTGTGATTGGTGCCATAGTCCGAGTGCCCCAATAGAGCAGCATCAACATCCCAAAAACCCTTCCTCAAATAAGTTCCCCAGGAAATCTTTTGATCTGGTCTGATGGTGAGAACATAAATTTGAAAATAGCTTAAAGGTTACAAAATAACAATTCTGTTTTACCATTTAATATAACACTGTGTTTAGTCTCCCTGATGTGATAAATATTAAACTGTTCCTAATTTTCTTTTTGTAGACCTTCTCTATGAAGACCTTCACCTTTCGCTTTCACTGCAAGTCAATTCCATCATCTTTGAACTGAACCTGTACCACCCTTGAAATGCAGGGATTCCCAAATCAGCTGTGTGATGTTGGAGCATTCCCCATGTCCATCCCACCATGCCCCTAGTCCACAAGAGCCTGGGAAGTTCCTGGGGCCATGCTCCTGCTCATTAGTTCTCTTGACTCCAGCTGACCTATAAATGTTGAAGGAAACAAAACAAACTGCTGGGAGAGAGAGGAAGGGCTGTAGGTGTTGGCCACATGTCAGTGGAACCAAGCCAAGCTCCAACTGAAGATGCTATTGTGTTGCAGTGATTTCCCTGGAAAAATCGGCCTGGAGATCTCCTTACCATTGCTGGGACACACTTGATGACCAGGAGGGTGTGGATTCGGGGCACCCAGAAGGCTGTGGGAGTGTTGGGGACTTTGGACAATGTTGTGAATGTGACCCTGAGCAGACACGACTATAAACCTGCAGGACTGGACAAGGCACCAGTGCCCGGCTCCAGCACACATGGCTGGATGTGCCAAGGCTTGGCTCTGGTTCCCACACAGTGGGTGTCTGCAAAGATGCACAGGTTCTGTACTTGGAGAGGTCCAGGACACAGGCACAGCAGCTCCTTGGCTGCTGCTAATCAGCATCTGCAGAGTGGTGGTCCATTGGCCACCAAACCCATGAACTGGGAGCCAGGAAGGAGGTTGTGGCAGTGGGGGTGTCTCCTGTGTGTGCTCCAAGCAAGACCTGTGGCAGTTGGGGTGTCTCCTGTGTGTGCTCCAAGCAAGCCTTGGTCAGGGCCATGGCTGCTGCTCTTTGGGCTTTGTCACCCCTTTCAAGGGCAAAGTTAAAAGTTCAGTCCTGGTTTGTTGGCAGAGTGGATTTGGGAAGGTTAGTGTCCTGCTCCTGGAGCAGGTGCACAGCAGACTGCTGCATCCCGAGAGTGTCTGGGGGAGGCAGCAGGGCCACCTGTCCCCTGGCACTCATCCCTTCCTCCCAGGAAGTGCAGTGGACTGAATACTGAGGCCATGGGCAGACACAGCTGGGATTGCCCATTTGCATCCCACCCCTCAGGGCTCTGGGATGCTGCAGACACCCTGGGAATGGACTGGAGGAACATTCCAAGAACCTCAGCCAGAGTGCAGCTGTCTCTGTGCCATGGGGAGGATCTGTGGGTGATGAAGTCCTCCCCACTGTCAGTGGCTGGGTCAGAGCGGGACTCTGACCTTGGCTGAACAGTATCTGCCAGCCCTCTCCAAAGCTTCATGGGCAAATCACTTCCAGCTTTTTAAATGTCTGGCTTAAACCACCACCTGAGCATCCCATGCATCTCCAGTCACTGCCCACAATCAGCATGCTACATGGAAAGCAGTCTGGGGACACAATGCTGTCCCTCTCCTGCACCACAGGGGAACCTCCTGCATCCGCCACCCCTGGACAGTCCGTAAATGCCCCTTCCCTCCTTATCTTTCCCTGAGCAGCAGGGGTCTTGGCATCTCCTTAGCCCCTGTTTCCTTTTCCAGTTCCTGTTGACACAGTGGCCATGGGAGAACAGTGGGGCCAAGGGCAGCAGAGAGACAACCTCTCTGTTCCTCTGGTTGTCTGCTCACTTTCCCAGGCACAGCTGGGCCACAGGGACCTTTAGCACAGCTGATGAGGTGGCAGCACCAGGGAGAGGCTAGGGCAGGGTGACCCCACAGGGGAGCCACAGCCTGAGCAGTCTGCCTCTGCCCCATCCCAGCACCGCAGCACTGGGCATCCCGCAGCATTAGGCCACCCTGCACCGCCTGGATGCTGGTAAAGATGTCCTAGTGAAGAAAGGGATGCAGAGGTACCTCTGTGCTGATGAGAACAGGGCTGAGAGGCCAACAGAGGCATATAGAAAAGTGGCTGGTCAGGGATTTGGGGGAGAGAAGAGTTTTTATTGTGAGTTATTGGCCATGCTGACACTCCCTGCCCTCCAGCAGTGTCATTGGCACAAAAAACTATATTAAATAAAGACCTCGTTTCAGCCCGTGCTGGTCAAGGCCAGCAGGTCTTGAATTAACCTCCCTGAATTTCCAGCCTGCGAGGAGCAGGGAGGTAAGCTCACCCTTATCTGGAGGGAGTGCTGGTCAGGAAGAAAATTGCGTGTTCCTGAGGAGCGGCTGGACGCCCAGCGGGAGGTGCGGCTGATACTGTTCAGCCAAGGTCAGAGTCCCGCTCCGACCCAGCCACCGACAGTCCCGAGGGCGGCGTGGAGCGAGCAGAGCTGAGGGGCTGGGAGCCCGGCACCTGCCAGCACATCCTGGCACTCCCCCTCCCCTCTCAGCATCCTCCGGCACCCCCAGCCCGCAGCCGCCAGCGGTTTGCTCAGCACCCCAAGGCCACCCAGGCTCCTCTGCTGGGGCTCGTGTGCCATCCAGTGGCGAAGACTCAGCTCCAGCACAGTCTGAGCCTTCCCACGCTGCCGCTCAGCGCCGGGAAGGAGGCAACCATGCTGGGCTGGAGCCTGGAAAGCATCTCGCCGTGGAGGACCCACTGTGGAAGCTGCAGACAGCAATGGGATGCGCTGTCTCCATTGCCAGACAGCCGGGGAGGCATGCCCGGGCCAACGATGCTTCTGGCAGGGGCGGCGGGCCTCCTGCTGCTGTAGCAGGATCCCAAGCTTCCCCTCGGAATGCTCAGGGAGGCAGTCCAGGTGCTGGAAGAGGAGAGGGGCCCGAGGTGGATGAGCAGGGCTGGGCTGCAGCAAAGCCTCCTGCAACTACCCTAGGCATCCAGGATTGACCTTTGCTGGGGAGCGGGCAGATTCCTCATCTCAGAGAGATGTACAAGTTGTTCCATGGCAAGTACCTGACCACTGCATCTGTCTTGTCCCAGCCAGGGACAGGAAAGGGATCGAGTGCCTCCTCCATTTTAAACCACACTGACACTGATGGCTAGGCTGGAATTACCTCCAGCAGGGTCATTTCAGCTGTACCCCCAGGCGTGCTGCTGCTACCTGCTCTGCAATGGCTTGTGCCCATTTTAGCACAGTCAGCCAGATAGGGCTTTGAAACACCTGCGGGCAATCCTGAGCATACAGGAGGTGTTCTGTGTATAGCACTAGTCCTCCATGGTCAGATGGATTCCAAAGGCATCATCCCAGAGGACCCTCATAGGGACGTCACTTCTAAATGGATGCTGTGGGCAGCTGCACAGATCTTGGAGCTGTGCTGGACTGGGCTTGGCAGAGGGAGCAGGAGAGAAAGTTTTAAGGAAATTGGCTGAGAAGGCAGGTGCCCCAGCAGTGGCAGTTGTAGCTTGGTGAATCACAGCAGGCTCCTTTCTGCTTCAAGACATTAGGAGCAGTTCAGCAATTAAGACTGGCTTCTATTAATATGCAAATTTCTGCTGCCATGGCAATAATCTTATAAATGCAGATTGCACTGGGAACTATTGTTAGAGAGACCTGTGCTCGGCCCTGTACTTTGTCTGAGCAGATTCTTCTAACTGAGCTCCCCTGAGCCTGTGGCCTGGACAGCTGGGGGCAGCACTGCCAGTGGCTACCCTGATGCAGGCAGCAGACTCCCACCCATCATCTTCCCTATCCTTGCTTGGTCCTTTTTGCACAGATCATAAAGAATATCCTGAGTTGGAAGGGACTCACCAGGATCATCGAGTCAAGCTCCTGGCCCTGCACAGGACACCCCAAGCCCTCTGCCTGAGAGCATTGTCCAAACACTCCTTGAGCTCTGGCAGCCTTGGTGCTATAACCGTTCCCTGGAGATCCTGACCACCCTCTGGAAGAACCTTTTCCTAGTATGCATTCTAACTGTCCCCTGACAAAGCTCCAGACATTCCCTTGGGTCCTGCCACTGGTCACAGAGAGAAGAGATTGGAGCTGCACCTCTGCTGGCCTCAGGAGGAAGCTGCAGCAGATGCTGATGAGGCCTGACCTCAGGCTCTTCTTCTCTGGGCTGAACAAACCAAGTGATCTCAGCCATTCTTCATGGCCCCTCCAGACCTTGCACCATCTTCATAGCCCTCCTCTGGACACTCTCTAACAGCTTTATATCCTTGCCTATGTGCCAGCAGCAACAGGCAGGCCAGTTCAGCCTCACTGCTCTGTGGGAATCTCCTCCCACCTGCCACCAGCATCCAATTCCAGTTTTTGCGGCCATCAGAAGCTGTGCCCTGAGCCACCCTGAGAAGCAGGGATGTGTGCATCCCCACACAGCCAGACCCACCTGCAGGAGAACCTGGCTGCTGTCCAGCCGTGCTGTAGCCACCCAGGAGGCTGAAGCTGGCCCAGGACCACGGGTACTGCAAGCTCCAGCACCAGCTTCCCCTGCTCTGGGGCAGCACTGAGCTGCAGATCCTGACTCGAGGGCAGAGGGGATGTTTTCTCCTGTGCCTGCTCTGGATGGAGGCTTCAGAAGCCTCACACTGACGGGGTGGACTTGGTCTGCCACAGGCTGTAGGGCTGTGTTGTGGGAAACCATGCCTGTGCCCATGCCTGTTCCTGGTCCACCCCAGGCCAGCTGTGGGGGACAGCTATGCCCTGGGAGACCTAAGCACATGTCTGTTCTCAGATGGGGCCAGGACCATGAGGTGTCAATGACTGAACAGCATGAACAATGCCCTGGGTTCCTACCACCCCAGGCACTGAGACCTGTCAGACCCCTCAAGACCTCCTGCGAGCTGCCACCATATCCTGGGTGCACTTGCTGGGTTCCTATGGTCCTACTCCCCAGAGATCTGGGTCCAGAGAAGGGCAGTGAAGCTGCTGAAGGGACTGGAGCAAATGTCCAATGAGGAGCAGCTGTGGAAGTTGGGGTTGTTTAGCCTAGAGAAAAGGATACTCAACGAGGACCCTCTCACTCTGTATAACTCCCTAAGAGGAGGGTGTAGCCAAAGGTGAGGCTCTGTTTCCAGGGAACAAATGACAGGACAAGAGGAAATGGCCTCAAGCTGTGCCAGGGGAGGTTTAGATGGGACATTAGGAAGAATTTCTTCACAGAAAAGATGATTAGACATTGAAACAGGCTGCTCAGGAAGTCACCATCCATGGAGGTGTTTAAGGAACAACTGGACGTGTCACTTAGTGCCATGGTCTAGTTGATAAGGTGGTATTCAGCCATAAATTGGACTCAGTGATCTTGGAGGTCTTTTCCAGCCTAAATGATTCTGTGACCTTGCCCGATCTGGAGGCCATGGCCATGGCACTGGGGTATGGAAGCAGCCCAAGACCTCACAGAGGACATGTATGGAGGGGCTGCAGAGGGCACACAGTGCTGGGTACACAGACAGTGGTTTGCTCTGTGCCCAGGTGTTGGTAGCCAGGCTAGGTGCTGGTGTGCTGCCCAGGTGTGATCCAGGTGAAGCCCTGCAGGTCTGTTTGCCCTCATGCTGGCTGTGGGAGCACAGACACAGGCCATGGTGCCAGTGGAGCCGCACAGCACTGGGGACACCTGTGAGATGTCTGTGAGGGGGCACCTCAGCACAGGGGCACTGCACCCACAGCCAAGGACAGGGTGGCACCTTGGCGCCAGCACCCGCTTCATGGGGACACAGAATGGGTCAGCTTGAAAGTGACAACAGTGGGTCATCTGACCAGTCCCTGCAGACACTGACATCTACTGACATAAAAAACTGACGTTACAAACAGATGAAGCTCCTGAATACACCCACCCACCCTCACCGCCTCCAAGCTGAGTTTGCTATTGGGACTGGGTGGGACTTGTGCTCGCCTCACCATCTCTTGGCTCCGCCCCTTACACCTTCAAACCAGAGTTGTGGCTGGGGAGGGGCTTGTGCTGGCATCGCCCACTCTC